GCGCCGCGCTCCCCATCAGTCTGCTCCCAGGGCTCGCCGCTCTGCCTGTGCCTATTTTTATCCCTGGGAAAGTCGCGTTTCCTCCGTCCGTGCAGACCCACTCGCCATGTCCAAGTGGCTGCTGGAGCAGCTCATTAATCAGCACTTGGGGCTCCAGATGCAGCTCGGGGAGCAGGACCTGCCATGGCCTTATTTAGCCAGTCCCAGGACAGAGGGAGCTGTCTCCGGGGACAGCTCTCACTGGGTGGGCTCTGTGAACAGGGACCTTTCTTGGGTGCCCATTAGCCCCCTCACCACGGCAGAATTCCTGTTTTTGTCATCACCCCAGCCCCACCCCAGCAGCACAGCTGCCCAACCACTATTCCTGTCCTAGTCCCTCTCCCATCCCACCTCAGGATCCCTGTCTCTCTCCTCCCACAGCCCCATGCCAGCATCCCTGTCCCTGTTCCCCACCATCCCTGTGCTGCCCTCCAGCACACCACCAGCCCTCCCTGTCCCGTACCACTGCCACTCTGTCCCAGCCCTCGGGAAGATGCCAGTGCCAGTCCCTGGCCAGGCATCAGTCCCTGCCCTGGTTGGGAATGGTCCCCCAGTCCTTGGGTCACAGGGATTTGCTGTCAGCCCCTCTGCGCGGCCGGGGAGCAGCTTTGGGGCAGAGGTGCCGCTATTTTTAGTGGCTGCAGTGGGATTTAGCAGCAGGGAGGCCTCTGCCCTGGACTCCCCCCATCTGGCAGCCGCTGCCAGCCCTGCCCCAGCGTGGCCAAGCCGGGCAGACTGCACTGGGTGAGGGGTCCTGGCATGGGGGCCAGTCACGCTCCAGCCCCATCATGGTCTTCCCCTGTCCCTGCCCAGGCCCTTTGCCCCAGCTCCTGCGGTGCTGCTCAGCCAGATCCCCACCAGCCACAGGAACAGGGTCCCTGCCCACAGGGGCTGCTCCCAGCACAGACCGGGGGTGCAGAGGCAGCCGTGGACCAGCTCTCCCTGGAGTGGGGCCAGTGGGCAGTGGCAGAGAGGGA